TTTTCTCCGCCTATCTCTCCCTCTGAGTATTTCTAGTGTTCCCTAATAAAAATGTTATGGTTAATTTGCTTAACGACGTGTTCGGGGTATCATCCAAACCATTTATGGAATAGTTCAATCATTTGGGTCATCGTTCGTGCATGGTATTTTTTATTAGGGTTGTCACATATTGTTTTCAAGCTTCCGGTATCAAATTTAATTTATTTAATACAGAGAGAATGTTTTGAGCCACATGTACTGCCAAAATTTGAGCTAATCGAATACTCAAAAGCATTACTAACAAAGAAAGATTAAAATGTAATCATTTAATGATTAATCAATGTTTAAACATTGCTTCGATTAAAATGTATTTCAAAGTTATACCAACCGGTGGAAGCTAACGATTTAAAATTGGCTCACTACTTCACTAACCTATTGGTCCCAAGCATATCTATAAGCGTACCCCATTCTAGTCGAAATTACTTACATAGTACTACCAACAATCAATACGAAACTAACGATTTTAAATTGGCTCACTACTTGACTAGCCTATTGGTCCCAAGCAAACGATTAACGTACCCCATTCTAGTCGAAATTCTACTACTACACAATGTTTGTTTTGATTCGCTATGAAAGTTTGACAGATAAAATGAGGGGTTAGGGGATTTTCGAGGGGTGAATCGATTAGCTTGGGACCGAAGAGAGTACCAGAGCTGAGCCAAAAAGTTGAGCACGTTTCTTCGGGACCTTCTAGTCTTAGAGTTACCTCTATGGTATTACTTGGTACTACACTATGTTTGTTTTGATTCGGTATGAAAGTTTTACAGATAAAATGAGGGGCTCGTGGATTTTCTTATGTTTCGAGGGATGCATCGATTAGCTTAAGACCGAAGATAGTACCAGAGCTGAGAAAAAAAAGTGTTGGAACGTTTCTTCGGGAACGGGTTATACCATAGAGGTAACTCTAATGGTGGTTAGCTCCAACCGGTATTATCCTCTGATTAAATCCCAATCCAGTATGTCCGGCTGCGTTGATGTCGACATCAGAGTTAATCAATGTGACTTTAAGCAAATATTTTGCAGATCATCCAAACAGGGACGGTATTAAAAGTAAATCCGAGTTGGAGCTTACCGCCATAAGACTAGTAGCAACAATCAATACGAAACTAATGATTTTAAATTGGCTCACTACTTGACTCGAGGGGGACGACTCTATCTACACTAATAGAATTCCACACATTTTTATTGACGAATTTCCATGTAAAATTCCACATGATTTTCATGTGATCACACATAAACTGAATCCACCCAGAAGCGAGGTCCCACAAATGAATTTTTGCAATGTGATCAACAAAAATGATATCTATGTGTCGGACACATACATAATATGTGCACACATAAAAGCCATGTGTAACCACACATACTATTCATTTGATTTATAAATTTCATGTGTGCTTCTGGGCGAGATTTGTTCCCACTTTGTCTACACACTTAGTTTTTTTCTACCGAGCTCTACTGTGAAAATCTCGGCAAAAAAAAGTTTTACTGAGATCTCAGCAAACATTTCATTTGTTTGCTGAGATTCAGCTAAGCATTATCCGAGACTCAAATGTCATTTTTTCTGAGATCTCAGTGAAACTTATTTTTGTCGAGATGTGCACAGGCGAGCTCGGTAGAAAAAACTTAGTGTGTAACGAGGTGTGTAAGTTCTGGATCAACAATAGAAAAGGGCCCATTAGCATTTGTAATCAATCCGTTCCAAAGCCCATTCCTCACAAATCGAAGGCTGCCCACACAAACCAACACCATCATCGTGTAGGTAGAAGTTTCCCCTATCCGATGATGGTGTTGGTTTGCGTTGGTGGCCTTCGCTTTGTGAGTAAAGGGCCTTGGAACGGGTTTTTTTTACAAATGCTGATGGGCCCTTTTCTATTGTTGATCCAGAGTTGTGAATTCTAAAGGCACAAGCACAATTACAGCGGAATTGGAACGACAGCGACAGCAGAAAAGCCCGATCTAAGTAACCCTACTTGTCGGATTGAAAACTAGTTAGAACCAAATCTACTTCGGTTAGGCATCTTGATGTCATTTGTGATAACTGTCAAACTTTCCGTTTCCGTTCCGCTTTCGCCCATATTGCGTTTGGGCCCTAACTAATTTTGCTTGATACATATCTTCTTCTTCTTCTTCGCATTTCAAGCTTATTGCATATCGCATATTAGCTTATTGCGTGCTCTCAACTTAGTGTTCTAGATGCTCTTCCACAGTTGTTAATTGAGAGCTTTCGATGCCTGTACTATTTTTGCATTGGTATAATCGTGTGGCAAGTCCAATCATACTTCTATGCCCAGGGAAGTCGAGAAAATTTCCAACCCAAAAAATTCCTAGACCGGACCGGGAATTGAACCCAGCCACCTCCAGCATGGTCTTGCTTTGTAGCTGCGCCTTTACCGACTGAGCTAAGTGAGGCATATATATATATATCAAATCGTTACTACACACAAAAAATTATCGTTAATTAAATTGAAAAAACCATTGGTAGAATTAAAAGTTTTCGTTGGTTCTTTTTGGTAGAAAGTCTTTAGCATTCAAAACAAAAGTCAGCCAACTGTCAATTCAAAAGTAACTCGTTTTTTACTTTTAAAAGTAGAAACTTTCAAATCGAATTGTAGAACTGTCAATATAAAACACATGTTTTTTAAATAGACTCACGAAAGGATTTAATTTAAAAGATGGGCATTTTTATCGCAAAGATGTATGTTTTCATCTCAAATATGAATTATTTTTAATTCGACTGCTATATGCTTTGAAAAAAAATAACAATAGAAATATTTTATTTAATATATTTCGCCTATTTATATTTTTGATAATGACTGAAAGGGCACTGCATTGTGGAATCATGGGAAGCATTTTACGCAAATGATACAGTTGGTGATGGTGATGGTGGGAGTAGCCTTCCTTTCCGGCAAGACTGACGAGGCTGCTCAAAACACATAAATTAGTAAAACCGGAAACAAGTATTCGAAAATTTCATCAACTTACCTCCAAATCCCGTAACTGGAATATCCTTCCGATCCTTCCACTCGATAGCGTCAGAAGAGAAACAAGCGCACCGGCGGATGAAAATGTGGGAAACTTGAAGAAACTGCTGCTGCTCATGTTAGCTGCAGAGGTTTCGTTTTTTTTTCACATGTCCAATTTGGCGGGAAACGGTGATCCAGTACTGTCAAAAACTTTGCAATGAGGAGGTTTTTGGCAGTTTATCGACATTTATTCTAAAAAATACACTTTTAAAATTACAAGCCGAAAGTGAAAGAAACACTTTTAAACCAAAAAAATATGTTTTATTTTGAAAATGTTCATATTTAAAACTACGAAATTTGGGAAACTTTTAATTTGATCATGCATTATTTTTATAGCAACAATTTTTGTTCTTTGTGTGTATTTGCTTGACAATGCATTAAGCGTTTTTGATCGTTTTTGAAGTCAGAATATCCTTTTAAGAACTGTCAAGAAATACTGCAGTACAATATGTCGTATAATGATACGTTTTATTGTCGTTGCACATTTCTTAATCGTGCGACATTACCGAAAGTGAGGTGTAGAAGAATGTAGAAAGATTAACCCAAATAATTACGATACAGCATAAGCCGTGCTTATGATATGTAATATACGATTATGCAGGAAACCAGATGGAAAAGTATTTGCCATATTGGTTCAATGATAAAGTTCATAAACTTACTTCATAATTAACCAATTCATTCTAGCAGTTAGAATGACGTTTACTACCACTCAAACTTTGAAATTAAACATTTTTTTGAGATTTTTTCTTCTAGAACCACGAGAAAAGTAGCCAACATTTGTGCGTTTCATAAAAAAATAGAAATTAGTTGGTCCAGTTTTGTGAAATCGCTGGTAGAAAGCGAGGTAGAAAGTCACGCCAAAACTGCTTGATAAAGTGGTCAATTAATTATATGATTTGAGTAGTAGCTATACTGAAGATCCAAAAGATGTCACCCCTTTAGTGGTAGGAAAATCATTTTTGCAGTATGGAGAAGATCAGAAAATCCACGATTTGTGACTAAACATGCTTTCATAGAAGGAAACAAATAAACGAGTGTTTACCTTATCACCATAGTAATGCATTACATGCAGTACATGTACTCGTGCAATTTTTGTGCATCTAAAACTGCCCATAAAGACGATAATGAATAAAAACTGAAAATTTTCATGCATTTTCAAATGGTTTCCTACCATTCCCATACATTCTAAAGGGACTGGCCCTCTGGATGTGGATGATGTCAAAAACAACAAAACATGATTTATTACGATGATGCTGTTAAAAAAGGCACTTTCTACCCGACTTGATATTCTTGAGTACATAGAACACAGGAATATGAAACGCAAAATGGTCGACAGTTTGACAGATCAAGCAGTTAATTGACCATCCATCAAAATTTTCAAGATTGATTTTTGTTCAAAAAACTGCTTCTGCTGGAAGCAGTTCAGCAATATATTTTGTTGGAACTCGATTACAATTTTTGATGTGTACTCTAATAAAAATGTTATGGTTAAACGCTGTCCAGACTGGAGAGTTATAACATCTTATAACGGTTGTCAAATAATTGCAACACAGAAACCACCATCAAGATAGCGCTATAACATGTTATAACTCTGTTGTCTGAACGTACTATTAATTTGCTTAATGGAATAGTTCAATCATTTAGGTTATCGTTCGAGTATGGTATTTTTTTATTAGGGAAACATCGACTCTGGTTTCAATCATATCGAATTACCACCACATCACGGTTCATGCTGTGAGTGCAGTCAAAAGCGTCCTTTACAAAGCGCTTGCGCGCTCTTCGTAAAAGCTCCGATGAGTCTTGCACGAGCAGGTAAACGTTCGGGTTTTATGCTCGTAGTGTAAGCACGATTGCTGATCGTTTTTATGCTGTGTTGCTTTGCTTGCTTTCCCGTCGTTTTGTACTAACCAAACCAGCGAGTCAGTTTCGAACGGGACTTCTGAGCGATTGCAGGTGTTTATTTGCGCAGGCAGGAAGAGCTAGTGTTGTGTGTGGAGACGGTGAAGACTAGAGGATTAACCGCTATTCGATTCGGTTGTGTTCTGTGGTAGAAAGTGAAGAAGAAGCAGGAAGGATTCGCGCGCGCTAATCATTTTCTTTGCTGTGAATGCTATTTTCCGCGTAAAGTGCGTGTTGAATTGTGTTGTGCTAATAGGACTTTTGCCAGCAGTGTTTGGGAACATCGACTTCCCCGGAGATCAAGCTGAGGGTGGATATTTTTCCGAGAGAATAAAGGTGTGTTGATGCAATTTATTTTTTGTTTTTGGCTCCAAAGCCTAGCGCAAAATTGTACTGTGCTGTGTGAGTGTTTTCATCGGTGTTGTTTTGCTGACGCTTTGCTTTTGCACAATGTGTTACCGGGTTCTCTTCTAATAGTACGGTGTTGTGCTGGAGGGAGGAAGCAAAGGATAACTTGACTAGTGTGCGCCGCGACGACGGTTGTTGGTGGTGGGGGTGTGCAGAAGATTAGCAAGGGACGACAAAACGGAAGGAAGTAAAATTCGAACAAGAAGGGGACCTACCGAAGGAATACGTGTGTCGTCGTCGTTGTCGGTTCGGTGTTTGTCCGCTCCGCGCTGCCGCTGCGTGTGTGTATTGGCACTGTGGGGGTGTTTGGGGAAAAAGTGTATATTTTTGTGCTGTTCTGTTACTGATGTTGTTGTTGTTGCTTGTGTGCTCTGCACAAGTCACCATCGTCGGTTGTTGGATATGATGGTGGAGCGCAAAAAATCGATACACCATGTTTGCAATTTTGTGTTTCTCCGCTCTCTGGCCGCGTTCTATGTGGATGCGGGTTTGTGTGGCGTTGGTCGACTGTGGGACGTTTGATCCTGCTGGCAGTCGGAAGCGTGCTACTCGTGGCTGGTGGAAAAGGATATAATTCCACCATTGTATCATCCTCGCCCTCCTTGCTCCCGGGCACGATGATTTGCACAAGGAGTGAATCATCGTGTTTACCGTGAATGGGTGGCAGGGGATATGCAAACATTTTTGCGAGATCTGACCTTCGGCGAATAGGTAGATCTGTAGTGTGGAGGTTGTTTGATATTCTAACGTCGTCTTTTTTGTCTCCATAAAAGTTCTAAGAGCTGCTGGAACAGAAAGTTGCGAGATGCCATGCCTTTGAATGCTTTTTAAGTTGAATTTGTTTTAGAATTCTTGAACTCGAATATTTTTTGGAAATTCTAGGACTTTGGAAACAAATGCAATGTGCGACTTGGTAAGGCAATTTTATATAAATAATTTGAAGCTTACTTTGCGCTATTAAGGTGAAAGTGTTGTGACTTTTTATGCCTTGTTGATAGTGATAAGTCCTCGGGTTGCCTGGATCGAGGATGATCTTGAAACAAGGAAAAAATGAGTTAGTTAGTCTTCATCTATGTGATTCCTAATTTTCTATTCGTTGTTCCCTAGTTTGAAGTGGTTAAGACTAGAGTTCTGATGCATGGTCATTATCGGCGTCATTCCCTAATTTTGTTGCTAAGGAATCCAATTTTGACTGACAAAGGGGCGTGCCTTTGGAGGGTGTTTCAACACTCGCTATTAGCGCAATTAGAATCGATTCCTTGCAATTCTTGCCTTCAGAATGACAACTGTATCAAAACCGAATACTTCATCATTTCTCAATAGTGATGAAGTAATACGACATGCACTAAACTAAGGACACGGGATATACTACAATAGATCAAATTACTGGTCGCAGTAGTTTTATGTCCCGAACAGAGGAGAAAAAAAAGGGGAAAGTGACCTAGTGAGTAAATCAATATTTCGAAAATGGTTTTCTCTGAGACATCACTTGATATTGGGAAAAGATGTCGTCGTTTTATGCAAAATAATAAAAGGAAAACAATGACGAGAGCTTTTTGCAATCTGAACTGATTCCTCAGAAAAAAATCATTTTTGAAATTTTGGGTAACCTGTGAACTGGGAAGTTGGAAAAGCCAGGAATTTGAAATAACCGGGATAAAACAGAGAAAAGTCTGTGCATTTCGATCGGGAAAAAACATACTTCGTCCTCTCACTTCAATAAATAAATAATATGATTCTGGATCAAGCCAATTTTACAAGACCCTTATAGATCCGTATACTGAAGAAGAGTTTCAGGATTTACAGGTCAGCTTGAAGAAATTCAGAGAATTTTGATGAACATTCCAATGGAATTTCGACAAGACTTCTGCTTTCTCGCATTTCCAGTTAATTGCTTATCGCACATAAACTTATTGCGTGCTCTCAACTTAGTGTTCTAGATGCACATAGTTATTAATTGAGAGCTGTCGATGCCTGTACCATTTTTTCATTAGCATTTGGAATAAGTGCTTGTGTTGTGTGGCAAGTATAATCATACTCCACCCCGAAAAATTCGTAGACCGGACTGAGAATCGCCACTTGCTTTGTAGCTGGCCTTTACCGACTGAGCTAAGGATAAGGCTAAGCTGTTCGATATAATATGCACATGCCGATTTTCATACAAAATTGATAACTTTGACATGTTTTAACTTTGTTATCTTAAGATAAATTGAGCTGAAACGTTCGCCACAGAACTACAAATATGTTCAATTTTAAGATTACAAAATATTAAATTTTTTGAAGCACTTGTCGGAAAGTGCAATACTAGGTCAAATTGTTCAGCATTGTTAGCAGTTGATCAACGGGAAGATCTTGTTTTCCGTGCTGAGCACCAATCGCCAGGGAGGCAGCTCCCATACCTGGACCCTACATATCGATCCATCAACTCATGAACCGGAGACCAACGGCTTTACCGGCGTGATCAGAGATGTGATGCCTCAGAACATCCTGATGGCGCTGACTGGGATTGAACCCAGGCCTGCTGGGGTGAGAGGTAATCACGCTTACCACTACACCACCGGCGCCGCTAACTTCGAACCTTGTTTCGACCCTACCTGAGGTAATCCAGCTTGGATATCTTCGATCCTTCGGATTCTTATAGTTATCTGCTAGGAAGTCGATTTGGAGAAACTTTCTTCTGTCGCCATGGCGCCTAAACGCAAAAGATAAGGGCAATCTCTTGATCCCCCTTGTGATGAAATACATTTGAGCAATACATTTTATATGCTCACGGATGATGAGAATGTTCCATCATTCAGGCAAAATTTCACTAGATATTTCCGGTTTAATGCCAAGATTGTGATAACTATTTCTTATTTCCGATTTCCATGCTTTTAACAAGGCACTTTTGAATTTCGTGAAAGTTAAGTTTTCACTACAAATTGGACGTCGGGGTGAATGCCGTGTACTGGCTGAAACCTTGGACGGATTTAAATGTCTTCTCAAGTATCTTACTGAGAAGAAGCACAAAATTTTTACTTACGACGCCAAAACTGAACGTGTGTTCAAGGTTGTCTTGAAAGGTCTGTCCAGTGCTGAATCCCTGGATCAGATCAAAAATGAATTGACAAAATTACATGGAATGGAGCCAGTCCAAGTAATCAAAATGAAAATGAATTCCCTTCCTAGCGATTCTCGAAACGGGACTTCTAATAATTTTTATTTAGTTCACTTCAAGTCTAGTGAACTAAACAACTTCAGGGTCTTTTAAAATGCTACCTTATGCTAGCGATGTCCTAGTGTGAAGTGGGAACCTAACCCAGTGCCAGGGATGGGGTCACGGAACCAAATTGGTACATGCCACACTTAGAAGTATCATAATAATTAAGGCTGGTAAGTTACTGTAGTAGCTGGAGCACCTTAATTAAATGTAATTTAATTTGAATTTGGAACAAATAGAGCGATAAAAAATCCGGTGCTTGCTTGCAGATTTTGTTCCCGTCCCTGCCGTAGTGTGTGGTTGACTCACCTCCTCGTATGTTCTCGAATTTCTGTTGATTCCGGCTTCCAATAACAACGATGATGGAGCTCAGCACTGGATATCCAGTTGTGAGGCCACCAGGCTTATTCCAAATTAGCTTATTGTGTGATCTCAATTTATTGTTCTAGATGCACTTCTACAGTTATTAATTAAGAGCAATACAGGTATCGAGTACCATTTTTGCTTTAGTATTAATTGTGCGGCAAGTACAATCATACTCTATGCACACTGATGAGACAACGAAACTTCACCCCCCAAGCTACTCCCCTGATACTATCCTTCGACAATGTACCTTTATAACCTCGGGTAAGCCGCGAGTATTCGGCCCAACTCCTACTAGACACAGAAATAAGTGAGTTTGTTAAAAACAATGAACAACGAATGATCGGCTCCGTAAAGCTAACGCGATTGAGCCTTCCAAATAAACGAACTAGATAAAAATACTCTATACCCAGGGAAGTCGAGAAATTTTCCAACCCGAAAAATGTCTAGACCGGACCGGGAATCGAACCCAGCCACCTCTAGCATGGTCTTACTTTGTAGCTGCGCCTTTACCGACTGAGCTAATGGATGCCCGGATTTTGATGCATTTACTAATCTGGTTTGTTCTCCAAATGTTCCGTTAACTTGCACAGGCAGCCCTGGCCTTCTTGCTTCGTGCATCGCTCTTGGTTCCGCCGTCAGACCCTATCTGACTGCCTAGAGCAATGGCAAATGGTACATCTGCCCTACTCCTTGTTGCTCCTAGAAAGGGGGCTGTTCATAAATCATGTAGACACTAGGGGGTGGGGGGAAGTAGGTTGTCGAGTGGCTATCCGACCCTTCATGATCAACGCAGCCAAATTGGATCGTTCAGTATTCCCTAAATAAAGAATGGGCCTAATCATCCATACCAGCGCATATCTGTCAAAATATTTCTAAAATGTACAACGTTTTGCACTTCCATATTGGCACAGACAAACAGACGTAACTCTTTGAATAAGTTTTTCTTGAAAATATAGGACCTCAGTAACGACATCTCTCAGGCTTCTCGCGGAAAACAAGCTTGCTCGTTGAGTCGCAAACAGTATTGTATGAAATGGAAACAGAATATATAGAAACGTCAAAATGGTCTGCAGCGAGTGGTTCGCGGAAATGTTAATTTTTAAATCAATCGTTTGAATGCGTGAACGATAATCCAGATTGAAGAGTGTTACGTCTGTTTGTCAGTGCTATAGGCATCCATGAGAACGGTAACAAACCACCACGTGTTTCCTATCGTAACAATGTTTGGTCCTTTATTTCTTACTACACCAGTCAACGCATATCCTGTACGCATCGCTCTCCACGCTATTTGGATCCACCGGAATCAACATATGCTACTAGCTGCTACCACCAATACCGTCATCGCTACTGTGCGTAGAGATTCCACCAACACACCAACGAACGCGAAAGGACAACCCACCCCCTCCGGCCCCAGTAGTCGTAACTACCAACCATGAGACGGGGACGACGTGGGAGGATCCTTCCCACTTCCCACGTCCATCGTCGGCGTCCAAAGGTTGACTCATAAATTAAATTTCTGCTTACACGCTGACGTTTCTCGTTTCTTGAATCGTACCAACAACCTACAATTCAGCGTTACACGGCCAATGAGATCAACCCAAATTTGGGTTCAATTGACTCATAATCGCAAAAAGAAATCTGCCGATGAGGAGAATTCATGATAATTTTACTCAGTCTAGGGTAGCACCAATAGACTGCGGGAATTCAATCAGTGGCGTCGCCTTAACCTCAATCTACCTGTGCACCAACTCTCAAAACATAAACAATTATCAAAATATTGCTTGCAATGGATAGAAATCGAGTTAACTAGAAGATTAAGTGTTTTTCAACCGATTCGAATATGAATATGGTATTAAATCTGTTTTTGAAAGTTGGTGCACAGGTAAAAAGTGAGGTTACGCGACGCCACTGAATTCAATCTTTACTTTTCTCATATTCGGTGATTTTTTCCTGGAAAAACATAAGGCGAATTTACTCATCGCTCTGTTGCTGCACTTTTTGTGATTGATGAGTAAACTGAACTGAAATTTGAGTTGATCTCACTGACCGTGCAGAAGACTAACTTTTCAATTTTCCACCGTGATTCGAAAAGGATAGAGCAGCAGCTTCAAAGCCGACCGAAACCGCATGTGCTTTTTATTAAAGCTTTTAATCACTTTTCCCCCCGGATCCGCTTCGGTTGGTCTGCGGTGATCGGTTGGGGGGTTATCGTGGTTATCAGTCAATTTTCCCATTCTCAGTGTAATCAAAATTGCATTAATTTTCGTTTTCTTTCTTTTTTCCTTGCAGAGAATTACTCGTGAAGATTCGATGAACCTCGCGTTTTGAGTTGTGGATATTATGCCAAATTGTAACTGAAAATTACAGTAATTGGGATTGCTTATCGGAAAAAGTGCCCCGAAGAAGAAGAAGAAGACGACGACGTGTGCAAAGAAGAGAGAGAACGGGCGAAGAAGTTCAATAGAAAACGAAATTACCGTGAAGTGTGAGAGAGTTTCCATACAAACGACATCTGTGTTTGTTGCCTATTACTTGAAGTGCTAGGCGCTGCTGTTGTGCTGCAGGCCCGGGTTATTATCGAAATATAATCCGCAGTGAAGTGAATGGGAAACGTAGATGAAGCAATTGCAATTTAGTGATCTGGATACCGACAAATAATAATCTAGCCTCACCATCTGCGGACGAAGGCCCGACCCAAGCAAGGGGAGGAAAACAGTAACATTCTTTACTTGCTGAGCATTTTTGTACCGAGCCTACACCGCCGGAGACCGGGAGTGGATTTAGGACGAATAACATAAAACGAATGTAAGTACCGACCGAGGGATGCATAGAGTAACAAACGACGCCGCTGTGCAGGGTAGAAGGAAATAAATTGATCCCAAGATGGGCTATTCATTGGACCAGATTAATCTCCATTGTGTGTGTCACCAGGTGTGTGTGAGTGTTTGCGGGGAATTAGAAAACATGGAACCGAAGAAATATTTACGGTTACAAATCATGTCGTGAGAGGAAATACAACCCTGAACCTTGCAGTGAATTGTAATTATTTACCTTGCTTGATGCAATCATCATCGCAGAAAAACCATCGCACGTTGGGTGAGAGGCGGTACCTACTACGAATTTCGAAAACTGGATCAACACAATCCCAGCTTTCCCATATGTAGGCTACCATTAGTGACCTTTCCCTGCTTTGAGCTCCGCTACCTATAATATCCCCCCATTCATTCATTCATACATTCATCGAATTCCATTTTTTCGCTATTCATGCAAGCCTCGGTTCGGAATGTAAGCGATGTGGGGAGTACCTAGATGTATAGACAAACAACGGTGGCGTCGCGGTCGGTCGTCGTCGTCGTCGTCGTCGCAGCCGCATTTTCCCATTCTCCGTTCCAGTAGGTCTCTTTGCTTAGTGGACCTTCGCTTCCATACAATGTAGACGTATTGAACTACATAGGCTACTAGTAGCAAAGGAGCCTGCTGCCGGAAAGTGCTGAGCAACGATCCGTTTTGAGATTTGAGTGCGGCTTTTTGGCTTCTGATGTGGTTTGTTTGCGAGTTTCCCCTTATTTCCTTCCCGCATAGAAGCGAAAATAAAACGAGCTACGTCTAGTGATGCTCCGTTATTACTACCTGGCTTCTGCCACCTCGGTTCGGAAACCCCCGCCAATGGATGGGGCCCTCTATGCGATTACCTGAATTGTGTGGTTAATTGGATCACAGGCGGTTATCTCGCTACTGCGGCCGGTCCTGGTGACGTCGTCGGCGTCGTTCTGTATTGAATGAAGCCCACTGACAGGCGCAGTTGCGCTTAACGAACATCTAGGACGAATGATGGATGATGTAATTAGAGCACACTGCATCATCGATGCTCTAGAATGGCGGAATTCAAATAGCATCATCATCATCATCATAACCATCATTGATTGAAAAGGGAGCCCGAGGATGCGTCATTTGAATGGATAAACGGATAAACGGAAATCTACGATAGAGGGTGAATTGCATTAATTATTATGTTTTAGTAGAACATTCTAAGAGGGGTTTTCATAAGCTTTTCAACACAATGATGTGCTAATGAAGAGTTAGCCTTTCCATGATAAATGAATTTGTCCCTTAATTCTGCATATTCACGACGTTTTTTTTAAGACGAAGTAAGTAAAACTGAAAAATTGTTTTTGGGAATTATCTTCTCCAACTAAAATTCCAGATCATCGTGACCCAAGCAATTGGGAAGCACATATATCAAAGTTACTTCTGTGATATACGAACATATACAATGCACAAGCAAGCAAGCCATATATAATGCAAAACAATTGCTTATAACCACACTACTTGAAACTAGACTACATTATAAACGATTTGATTTGATATGGTATACGGTTTTACCACAGACCATACATAAATTCAGCAATCGACTAAATTTTCAATAGCGACCAAAAATATTCCTTAGTACCGTCCCAATGACGCGTTCATCTAGATAAAATTGATAAATAGCAGGTTTTTAGCGATAGGTCCAATCCATATGCCAACATTTGAGACATTTCCCCTATTTTCCTAGAAAGTGAAATTTGTCAAGCTACATCACGTGATGTAGTTTTTATAAAAATATATTACTTTACTATATTACTCAGACCAAAATTAGTTGCAATCAATTTGTCAGATGTTAAAAAGTGGATGCAACTCCGTTATTGCCAGATCAGCTGTAATTACGCAGAGAAAAAAGGTAAATGCTGGTGATCTAAAATTAGGCAATACCCAGGGCTGGTAGTGAGTCACTTTTTAGTGACTTGGTCCAGTGTCTGTTTTTATCATTTACCATCACATGCAAGGAGTATCGCTTCAACCCAGTGTAGATGAATTGCGTTTGTTTTGAACATCTTCGTAGTTACGAAATGAGTTCATTATACATCAACGAATACGCGTTTGTTGATATTCACCAGTGCTCGATTATCAAACCCAAAATTGTCAAAATCAGAAGTGATCCTCAAAAGCAAAATAATCAACGACATTTTGGGCAAAATGATTATTTTGAATATTGTCGACCACACTGCCTAAATCATCGATATTATCACCAGTTCAGCTTGAGGCAATAATTTGCCGTCGACTTGTGTCTAAAAACCACGTTCTTCAGCGCTATATTTGTTTAAAATGAAAATAATAATTTTGCATTTGATCCTCAATATCATCCCGACCAAGATGAAGACGAATATCAATATTAACAACAACAGAGGCGATAATGAGAATCCAGCCACGAATGAAGAAAAACCAATGTTATTTTTGACACTCAGAGGTTGCCTAGATCAAGGGAATTTGATTATATCAAAATTCAAATTCATGCAGGTAGTTGGTCTATCTGTTAATGTTTTCTTCATTTTCAGCTAAATTGAGTGTAGAAGAAAGGTCACTAAAAAGTCTCTTGTTTTAAGGTCAAGTCACTAAAGTCACTTTTTCTTGTAATCAGTCACTATTTGCAACTATTTTAGCGTGAATTTATTTCAATATTGATCATTAATTGCTTTGTGACGTTTAATCGTCTTTCACTATCTACAGGCTGTCTACTCATTTTTCTAAATTTTCCTGAGTTTTCCAGGTTTTCCCACAACATTAACGGATAAATTCAAGGCTTTTTTTTTTAAAAATGCGTTCAAAATATGCTTTTTCTGGAAGATCAACAGTAATTAACCCAAGCGTTTTTAAGACATGGCAATCAGTTTTAAAGAAACAAGTTTGTAATAAAATCCAATGAATGTTGAACTTAATTTTTCACTGTTCACAGTTTTAAAAGACGTATTTAATTTGAGTGAGTCCAAGATCTAAAAACATTCAATGTCTTGTAGTTTCGTATTCGATGTACAAGTTCATGATATTGCAAATTTGCAAAGTGCCTGAATTAAGGAAAACGATAAATGATTTACTTCAAGTTCGTAATTAACTTTATGAAATATTAGAGATCTTCATTGCTGTCCCATTAACTTCACCACAATTGTAGGAACTTTGAAGAAGTTCTGAGGAATGAAAAGAAATTCTGAGAATTTCATTAAAGCTCCATAAACAAACTGCGGGAACATAAGGGAAGTTAACACACTGAAATTATCGGGAACTTACTGGAAGCTTTAAGATCCTCAAATCGGTTCTTTTAACATCCGAAAAATTTCAGAAACTTTTATGTTGTTCCTAGAATTTCAGAGCACATCACAGGTGGCAAGCGAACTTGAAAAATATAGAAAGCTTGAGGGGTATTGTGCAATTTTTTAAAAAGTTCTAAGCACCTCAGAAAAGCTAGATCTAGAGATCTCTGGAGAATTTCAGTTCTTCAGAGCAGTTCCCATGACTTTAGTTGTAACATCTATAATCGTAAATTTAGGAATATTTGGAACCCTTAAGATGTTCCGAAAATTTCAGGAAAGTACAGAGACCATCAAATAAGACATCCAGACATTTTGAAAAACTTCGAAAACTTCACAGAAAGACAGTAGTCTTCAAAAACATTCCGAGAACTTCATATAAATCTATGGAGGTTAAGAGAGGATCTGCGAACTTCAGGAATTTTTATGAACATTAGCAAAATGTGCTTCTGAGTTTGAACCCACAGTCTTCTGCTCAGAAAGCAAAATCGGTCGCCACTAGGCCACCAAGCTCCTTATATCACAAAACAATGACGATCAAGTTTCCCTTCAATTTGTTGTTACTATGTTTCGATCCCGGCGACGACGACAACAATGGCTCTTGAGAAGAATTTTATATGGATGTCCAAACGACACGTCTTTCCTAAAACTCAAACTTTTACCTTCCCGTCCTTTTAACCGAAATTCATTGCGGTCAATAGTGTAAGGTGCTTGGGTTTTAACCCACGATCTTCTGCTCAGTAAGCAAGAACGGTAGCTCTAAGGCCACCATGCCCCTTTTTCCGTGTTGGGTATTTTGATCACTGCGACCAGTACTTAGATCTATTGTGATATATTCCCCGTTTCAATATTGCTTTATCAGCATGTCATATCACCATTTTATGAAGCGACCGACATAGACTGACCGAAAGCATTTCCCCAGTCAGGTATTACATTTCGAATGAATTGCACTACATGGCTGGGAACTGAATTCCAAATATAAAAGGGTTCTGTCAGCCCCTTATCCAGAAAAATACGCCTCTTATTGAAGATTGCTGTACAAGAGCATAGCAGGTGTTCAGTAATCATATAATCGACACATGTCCTCTTGAAGTTTTCCTATTAGCTTCAAGTGATATTTACATGGACAGTGTCCTGTTATTAAACCAGTGTACATACTGAGATCTTTCTTTGATAGTTCAAGAATTTTGCTAGTCATTGAAATGCTCGGATTAATGAACCGTTTCGACTGCCTAGCAATGAGAGTGTTGTTTCAATTGGTCTCCACTTTCATTTTTTCCCATTTCTTGAACTCCATTGTAAGAGAGCAAACAGAAACTCCACAGAATGGTTCTTACTTACGTACTTAACGATCCTGCGCACCTCCAGGGGTGCAAAGGGCCTTTGTGAAAGATTTCCATCCTGGGCGATTATTAGCTTTGGCCTTTTTTTTTTTCCTTGTCGGGTATTTTCATCACTGCGACCATTTTTCTAATCTATTGTGATATATTCCCCATTTTTTTCTTTAGCTATATCAAGATGCCGTATCACTATTATTAGGAGTGATCGCCATCGTTTGACTAATAGCATTATCCCAGCACGGCATTATACTTCGAATAAAGTGCACTGCCGTACTGGGAGTTGTTCTCCAAATGTCAAAGGTTTCTATCAGCCCCTTGTCGAAGAACTTACGCCTTTTATTGA